CATCACCGATCGGGCAGAGTATGAGTCCCTCCGGGAACGGGCGGCCCGCCATGGGAAGAAGAGGATAAGTGCCGCCGAGGCCTGTCTCGTGGCGGAGGCGGCCGAAGCGACGACGCGGGCGGCCGCAGAGGAGGAAACCATCCGCGCCCGTGAAGAAGAGGAACACGCGCGCCCTCGCCCGTGAGCAGAATTGGGGCGATCCGTGCCATGGTCGGACTGCCACCGAAGGAGGAGAAGGAGGACAACGACGGCGAGGACAGCTCTGGCAACGAGCAGATCCAACTCGATCCATATTGCGTCTTCAACAGGTACTTCCGCGAGAAGGACGACAAGGGCGCCGGAAAGGGCAAGGTCAGCCGTGGATGAACTGCACTATAGTCAAACATGTCAATTTTGATAGTCCGATGGCATGTTTAGTGTAGTGTGATGGAGTAACCGGACGATACGTGTTCATCGACGTGATTGCATGAGTTTGTATGGATTTGAGATATGATAATAAAGATGTTCGGACGTGGATTGCATTTTTTGAGAAGTGCTCGGTCAGTGTCAGCGGACACGCCCCAACATGTCCGCGGTCGTTTGAGAAACCGGATTTGCCATGTCCGGCCATAGATGCTCGTAACTAGCTTTTAATCACGGCTGCTCATCATCAATCAGTCAAGCAGATACGTGCATCGTGCATCTGTGCAACGAGCAAAGCACAAAAGCAGGCCACAGGTGGGTGAGCAAACAATTTACCAACTCCGTGCGCGTGCGGTAACTCTGACGCGCCACTCCACCTGGTTCTCCATCACCGAGAAGCGAGAAGCAGCTCTGCTTTTACCTTTGGGTAAAACCCAAGTCTGCGAAAGCGGGTCAAGCAGCGCCGTTGGTCCAGCTGGCCGACCATTACCGCCTAACCGAAAGCGAGCACGAATCGTATCTCGTGCTAAACACTGCAAGCCTGCAGCTAATCTTTCTTTCTGTAAGACTGCCCACAATGAAAGTAACATAAGTAGTAACATCACATATATCTAGGTTAAATAGATGATGTGGCATGCAATAAATAAATAAAGAGATGAATGTGATAACATATCTAGTTACTACTAGTACTAGTAACATCACACATATCAATGCAAGATGTGTCTATAGCCTAAGGGCCTGTTTAGTTTCAATAAGTCACCCGACTTATAAGTCAGGTGACTTAAAACTAGTGACTTATAAATCACGCTTATTTGGTTGTCACCTGACTTATAAGTCACCTGACACACCTTTTCACACCAGTCAACATCATGCAGGTGGTGGGACCCACGCAAAAGGCGATGACTTATAAATTTTAAGTTGAGGTGGAGCAACTTATGACTTATAAGTTAGGGTGACTTATTTGAAATCAAACAAGCCCTAATAAATAAAATGTTGCATGTTACCACACATATGTTACTCCCCACTGTAGAGGTAGTAACATAGACTAGTAACATGAGTATGTTACTACTCTATGTTACTCATTGTGGCAAGTCTAATCAAAGCATCGATCCGCGGAATGTGCCACCTTCACTTGGCGCGCCAATCTTAATAACTTCATAAAATAATACTATAAGCTAATCTGAATGTATTGGCAGCTGAGGCCCGTGACTTGCAGAGCTGGACCGAGGTCGGCTTTACGTCGCGGTCCTCCTAGATCGCGGAGGATCCCCGCGCCGCGCATGCTTATCCCAGAATCATTTAGCCGTGGAGCACGCATCCGATTCCTTAATCAACATACTACGTACTACTAACTATCGTGTTTTGCTTAGTAAAATAAACTAATCCGGACGACGAATTTGTGTGATCGTGACGTGCTTACGTTCTCCGACAATCAGCTTACGCGATCCACTATCCAAAACGCCCCGCACATGCGCGGCCTCCCGGCCGGAGACGCCGGGCCGGAACTGCCGGAGATGCACGACGGCCGCCTACCTGCCGTCCAGTCCAGCGGTCGCTGTTGGTTTCCTCCGCCGCCCACCCCCCTCGTTTTCACCGCCTCCGCCGCACGCGGCCTCCTCCCGGACGAAACCGCCCGCCGAGGCAGCGGCCGCCCGCCATTCCGGCAGCTGATTCCTGCGCCGTGGATCCCACCGACCTCCTCTGCTTCGATCGATCGTGCGTGCGCCTCGGTTTTGCACCGGCCGACCCAAACTCCCAGCCGGAGCCGGTGGCGTCACATGCCGCGCGGCGCGCGCGCACATGCCGCGCCTCCTCTGGCAGCCGGCTCACGTGACCGCCTCGGCGGGTCGACACGCGCCCGCCCTCGTTCCCAGAGCGCGGCACATGCAGCGGGGCGAGCTGCCCCATGTGTCCGTACGGGAGCCCCGAGGCAGGCCAACCCGCCAGCGGCGCAGCGTGCGCGCACCGCACCGCACGTCGCTGTACGTACGCACACTTCCACACTGTTCAATCCAGCAGCGTGGTGGCGGTGGCACAGTGTGGAGTGGGACGGGAGGTGTTCGAACGAAAAGTCGTTGCCCGTGCCAGCCAGTGGCCGAGCGCGATCTGTTTGTCCCAGCGTATGTAGGGTAGTAAGTACTCCTACGTGGGTGAGAGCGATTGGCTTGCTTGCTGAATTATTATCTTTTTTGAAAGATCCGGGGTTTCCGGCTTCATTGATTTAGAAGAAAGCAGCGGGAGAACAGGGGGTGATCAAGCGATCATGGATGCAGTTTGAGAAATGAAAATGAAAACTACAGGATGACCGGCTTAGCCCTCGGCCTAATCTCTCGCTACATATTCGACCTGCGCTGAAAATGGCGAGGACGAGGTGGTCGGCGATCGGGCCCGGAGTGGTATAATGGCGCGGGAGCGGTGGTTCATTCGGTCGCCCGTCCGTCCGCCGCGAGTTGATCACGCAGACAGACGGCACAAGTACGTAGGCCATTGCAGCCAGGTTGGCTCACGATGGGCTACAGAATTCCGGTGCGGGGCTCACGCGCGCTATACTTAATGTTGGCTCACGATGAACTACTCAAGATGGAATTACTTTCCGTTCCGCCCTCGATGATGAACTACCGCTGCTGCCTCCAGTTTGGGCAATTAACCTGCCAATGGCGGTACGTGCACGCGCGAGAGCTTATCTTGGCAACTTCTCACGCCAGCAACCAAAGCCCGGAGGCAGCATGCGTGTTCACACGACCACACACACGCCTGTTTACGTCGCTACTCCAGGTCTATTATGGCATTACTACCAAACAACAATGAAAAAATGAGCCTTCAAATAATAATAAGAAAGCACCGCACGAGCAGGCCACATGTTTATGTTTCTCAGTTTTCGCACCCACTTGTCTGGGAGATTCATAACCCTGCAGCAGTACTGCTGCCAACAACTCTGCCTTGAAAAGGAGCCGCGCAGGGCCGGCGAAAGCTTTGCAGGAAATCAGCATGTGTGGAAAGGACAATGCATAATTTCTAGTAGTACAGAAAAAAGTCTTCCAGATCTCCCCTAACCACTCTTGTACAATAAATGTGGCAACGCCCGTCACGGCTAAGAAAATCACGATTAGGGTAAAAAGTCGCTCGATTAATCGACCTGGCATTCTGGCCTCGACGTTCCGTCTCTGTCCCTTTGAATTACAGTGGCCTATGCCACGTTTAATTACAAAAGAACTGGGTAACACAATAATTTTAAAAAATTCTGACGGTGGCCGAACGTGCGAGCAGATTTTTTACTGATCGGGTGAATCTTCTTGGCGGTGACAGCTTATATAGAGAAGCGAGAAAAAAAAGGGTCGAGCAGGTTCCAGGTGATGGTTAGCTTGGATGGCAAGCTAAGACGGAGGCGGTGGCACGGACCCGTCGGCGACACGTCTGAAGAGATGGGCGCGTGACGGGGCCACGGTTGGGTGGAGGTGGACCAGGCGCGGCACGTATGGGCGCCAGCCGTGGCACGGGATTGGTGTGAATGAGCTCCGCGTGCGGGTCGTCCTTTCTGGACGCGCTTGTTGACCCGGGTCGGTGCCAACGCCGCGCGGCTTTCCTTTTCATTCACTGTTCCGCGAAACCCTTTCCCTCCCGTAGAGAGAGCAACGCCGATGATACCCTGCGTGCGGTGATGCTTCTAGTCCCAAAAAAATACTAGGATCTGAAATGTAAATGCAGAAATAACGTGGATGTGTGTGTAGCTTGCCATGCTTGTGAAGCAACTCCACATAGCTGATGAATGGAATGGGAATGGGGACGAGTCAGCATTTCGGCGAAGGTTCGGTCGGGCGTTCAATGTTTTCGGTCTATTTCTTGGACGGCGACGTCTCGGGAAAAAGCAGTCAAGCACGTAAGAGTAACTCATAATCCTCTGTCACGATTAGACTAATGCTAATACCAACACCGGAGGCGAGCAGTCGTCTGGTCTCTGGAGCAGCAAAGCAAAGTTGCACCCAGACGCAAGAAAGAATCTGAAAAGGTGCGCGCGCGCGTACGTACGTGGTGACCGGTGGCAGCCACGCACGGGCCACTCGCCCGTGCCTGCCTCTCCCCACGCCCGTGTCAGTCACTCGGTCGGTCGGTCGGGATTTCCTACAAAAGCTCCCCACACGCCGCGGCCTCCCTCTGTTTCTCATCCGCGGTTGCCAGTCCCAGACTCCCAGTCCAAGTCCCACCCCGAGCGCCCGCGAATTCCATCCCGTTTGCCCGGTCCGTCCGTCCTTGGCAGCGACCGCGGTTTGACCCCGGGGGCCGGAGCCCAGAATCCACGCCTGGAATCGCGAGGATTTGGTTTGGTTTGGGGGCTCGATTTTCTCCGCCCGTTTTAGCCGACGCTGACCGAGACAACACCGGCCCTCCCCACACAAAACCGGCTGCCCGCGCCGCGATCGCCACACCGGCGCCCAAAACCCACCGCCCCCGTCCCCGCACCCGATTTTGAACCGCCCACCCAACCCACACCTTCCTCCCCTCCCCTTTGCAAGGGTGGGGAAAAAGAGCCCAGCAAACCGCCGCGGGGAAGGAAGGAAACCGCAGCGGCGGGCGCGGCGATCCGTCGGGCTCCGGCGGCGATGGAGCGGTGCCATCCGTCCGAGGTGTACGAGCTCTTCGTCCGCCACATGAACACCCCGAGGTGAGTGGCGACACGGTTCTTGATTCTTGGTTCTTGCGTTCCGTTCCCCGGTCGATTTGGGGCGGTTTGGTGAGCGTTTGCGCGGCGGTGCAGGGTGGTGGTGGACAACGGGGTGTGCGAGACGGCGACGCTGGTGCAGGTGCACAGCGCGCGGAAGCACGGCGTGCTGCTGGAGGCCGTCGCCGCGCTGTCGGACCACGGCGTCTGCGTCCGGAAGGGGTACATCTCCTCCGACGACGGCCGCTGGTTCATGGACGTCTTCCACGTCACCGACGCCGCGGGCTGCAAGGTCGCCGACGCCGACAAGCTGCTCGTCCGCCTCGAGTCCTCGCTCGCCGCCGCGGCGGCCGCGGCCGACGCATTGCCGCGCCCGGCGGGGTGCGACTCGCCCGCCAAGGAGGCGCTCTGCCTGCTCGAGCTCATCGGCGTCGACCGCCCGGGGCTCCTCTCGGAGGTGTTCGCCGTGCTGCACGACCTGCGCTGCAGCACCGTGGACGCCAAGGCCTGGACGCACGGCGGCCGCGTCGCCGCCCTGGTGTTCGTCCGCGACGAGGACACCGGCGCGCCCATCCACGACACGGCCCGGATCAGGCGCATCGAGTCCCGGCTGAGGCACGTGCTCCGCGGCGGCGCGCGCGGCGCGAGGACGGTCCTGCTCGACGCGGCGGCGGTCGGCAACCTGGACCGGAGGCTCCACCAGCTGCTGAGCGAGGACAGGGAGGCCGACCGCCGCGCCCCGGCGGAGGGGCCGGCGACGACGGCGACGGCGGTGGCGGTGCAGGAGTGGGGGGAGAGGGGGTACTCGGTGGTGACCGTGAGCTGCCGCGACCGGCCGAAGCTGCTGTTCGACGTCGTCTGCACCTTGACGGACCTGGACTACGTGGTCTACCACGGCACCTTCGACACCGACGGCGATCACGCGCAGCAGGTGAGGCCTCTACCAGTTTCTTGTTCAATCGATCTACAGTACAGGATTTTTGTTCTAGAACAGGTTGTGTGCCCTGTATTTCAGGGAGCTTTAAATTCCCCTCTTGATGGTTGTTCTTGGCCCGGGCTTCCTAGACGTTTCTTTGCCCTTCCATCAGTCTGTCCCCATTGGTTACCTGCTTAATTCAATTTCACCACAGTTCTTAGGTTATGCTGGCTCCAAACTAGTCCGAGCGGGCAAAAAGTTCAAATGGAATAGTTTCTCCCTGTTATATGTGAAATGGGATTTAATTTCACCTCAATCACATCACACTAGTAGGAATATCTCGTGAAATTTGGAATTATTATCATATGATTAACTTAAGACCTTGTCGAAATGGGAAGAAATGTTCATCTCCTGCAAGAAAGAATTCAGATTACTCCATGTAGTAACTGCTATGATCTGATTTCCGTTTGCTTTGGCTGGCTTGGGCGCAGGAGTTCTACATCCGGCGGCTGGACGGGCGGGCGATCAGCTCGGAGGGCGAGAGGCAGCGGGTGATCCAGCGCCTGCAAGCGGCGATCGAGCGGCGCGCGTCCGAGGTACGTCCGTCCGTCCCAATTGAATATCTCCTTTCCTTGCCCTCCATGCCACGCCACCCTGGACAAAAAAGCACCCGATCCCCCACCATGGAGTCCCTTTCCGCCCAACATTCCACTTGCGCGCCATGTGTTCGGCCGAATACCTCGCCGACTAACGCGATCCTCTTCTTCCACAGGGCGTGAGGCTGGAGCTGCGCATCTCCGACCGCCGCGGGCTGCTGGCCTACGTGACGCGCGTGTTCCGGGAGAACAGCCTCTCGGTCACGCACGCCGAGATCACCACCCGGGGCGACATGGCCGTGAACGTCTTCCACGTCACCGACGTGGCCGGCCGCCCCGCCGACCCCAAGACCATCGACGAGGTCATCCACGGCGTCGGCACCGAGAGCCTCCGGGTGGACGAGGAGCGATGGCCCCGCCTCTGCTCCACGGAGGGCGACGCCGGCGGCGGCGCGGGCGCCGGCCTGTTCTCGCTCGGCAGCCTGGTGAAGAAGAACCTCTACAACCTCGGCCTCATCAGATCCTGCTCCTGAAGGGCCGGAGGAGGAGGACGCGTGTCGGACGGGATGGGACGGGATGCTTGTGTGAATACGGGACGGTACAGGGGCTAGTTTGTAAATTAAGTAGGCCTTCTTTTTCTTTTCTAGGCCTGGAGGTTACGTGTACATGGCAGACACGAGGAGGTTGCTGGTGGGTCGTGTGTGTACGTATGTTCCGTTTACGTGCAAGTAGACGAATCGACCGATGTAAATAGGGTTGTACATATATACTAGTATGATGATATACTAGTGCTTTAGTAGATTCTTGTACCGGCTGTTTTAGACGTGCACAAATCAAGCAAATTAGGCTGCCGATATCGTAAAAAATGACATTTGGATTAAATACCTGAAAATCATATGTAGAAAGTTGTCCCAGAGAGGTGCCCGCGCATATAAACTTTGTCGAGTTGTATAATGATTAGAGTTGTGTGTTGGACATTACTTCAAAATAAACGTTTAGGCCTCTTTGATTCACATCATTCTGAAAAGTACAGGTAGATAAAAATGCAGTAATTGTGTATAACAACAGAGGATTAGAGGATATAGAAATTTTGCAGGTTTGGGTGTTAGGTTCACATGAAAAAATGCAGTAACTGTGTATAACAAAGGATTATAGAATATAGAAGTGTTGTAGACTTGGTGTTTGGTTCACATGAATAAAGAAAAACAGAAAGAATCCTAATAAGCAAGTCAAATCGAAAATTAGACCACATAAAAAGATGTAAGCAGATTGAAATCAAAATCGAACCAAATGAAAATGTATTATTAGCATGTTATCATGGCACTAAGGATCTCGGTCCCAGTTCTTCACCCGTAGGGATTTAAAAAAGAGGTTCAAGTGGATTCTAAGTTTTTTCAAATTTCCTTTGCTGCATCCTTTAAGGCCTTAAAGGAACTGGAGCTTTCATTTTTTACAGTGTGCCAGGGCGCAGCTATGTTTGCAGGTGCTTAGCCTAGAACAGAGCTAGCCATGCATAAGCAAACAACTAGTGCCATACCCTGAATCTGAAAAGCATCCCAGTGGAATCCTTCATACAATACGTAACCGGACATTTCAAACCGCAATGACGCGACCAGATTTCCAAGGCGCTGCCATGTGTCAAAACAAGAAAACCTATGAATAAAATCGTAAACGTCACAAACCATGAAAAGTCGAAATGTAGGCCAAAAGGAAGATTAATCAACGGAGTATGACGATCGATTCGGCGCGATTTTGTTTTGTTTGAACTTTGCAGCCACCGATCGATCATCCACCGCGACAAGAAACCCTGCGGAAAAGTTCGTTTCTCTATCCAGCCGCGATTCGTTCATTGTGTTTCCGTATCAACCCATAGAATAGAAAAGCACTCGACTTTTACAAAATGGACTTGCGGCAGGCCAGCGATCCATGCGGCGTCCGTGCGTGACATCTGAGATCAGGCTCACGACCCTGTCTGTCCCCGGAAAAAGAAACATACCAGCCAGCCGACCACGTATGCAACCGTTTCGTGTCTCGCTTTCACGAGAATTTTCGCCATTTGCCTCGGTCTCAAGGGCACCAACAATTATATACTTGCATAACACACACGCAGAGGCCGTGGAATTCTTTGCGGCGAGCGAGGACGCCGACGCTCGCGCGAAACCAGCCAGGCAGATGATGCACAAGAAGCAGAAGGATGTGATGGAGAGTGGATGCCGAAGGGCCCAAGCACCACCGACCTACCGCCCCAACCGCCGTTGATCGAACCAGAAGCACGCTTGGCACGGTAGCAGTACCGACGAGATGCCCGCGATTGCTTTCGGGGCAGCTGCGAACTGGGCGACGAAAAGGACCGGTTAACAGAGAAGTTCATTTCGTCGCTCGAGATCTGAGATGGCGTTTGGTTTGGTTTGGTTTGGTTTGGTTGGTTTGGTGGGGGCGGGCCGTTGGTTTCCTCGTCACTCGATCGGATCCGGGCGAGGACGACCGGTGGTTGCGGCGTCCGTCGGTCCACGCGGAGCGAAACGTGCGGGAAATTTACAGCTAGCATGAGCGAGGAAATGGGTTTGGCACGTCGGCAGCCATCGTTACAGTTTAATTTAATCAATGAATCAATCAACCACAAGTTGACAACTGGGCGAAAGGCCTCTCTCTCTCCGCAAATTGCAGTGGATCGTACTACTGCTGTCATGGTTGGTTACCAACTCATCAGAAAATGTAAAATCATGGTTGGTTACCATCAGCGAATTACAGACTGGATATGTATATCCGGGTCGTGCGTTGGGGGAAACCGCTCGTGCTGGGGATGGGTGGCATTGAGTGGCGGTGTCGAGGGGCTCCTGGCGTCGTGTCGGCACAGATCTGAAGCGGCCCGGCATGTCTATCAGCTTGTCCGGCTGCGGGGGTTTTGGTCTCGACCGGATACTCGGTGCACATGTCGCGTATGCGACCTGCTTTTGCCTACCTACTATCTAGGCGGCGAGGACGACGCCATTGCTGGCTAAGGTTTCGACAAGGATGCTGAGGCCGCTCGCTTCTTGTCTGGCCCTCCAGAGGAGTGTGCTCCAGAACTTGCTACCAATTAATTCCCGGGGGCCTTCAAAATGACACCTCCACATCTCATGGGATCAACAGTTACTAGTACTCATTATGTGACAACTAACGCTAAACCCTCTCAGGAAAGTATGTTGCGTAGCAGATTGATTTTGCCTGGCACAGCCAACTTGTGAGGAAGTATCAAACAGAAGCACTGCGTGCTATGAAAGAATGGTTCTTCCCCAACCCACTAAAGCGGGGCTGGACAAGGGCATTATATATACAGGGCCGTAACCGATCTGTAGTAGGTATGTACAAAAGAATTTGTGGCCATTTGCCAGCTTATCATGAAGGTACGAAGGCGTGGTTCACACAACCGGTTACAACAGCGCACGAGCAAGCATCAACTATTTTTTGTCAGTTTTTTTTCCTTTTTCGAGCCTACACTGGGTCACTGCTTCGAGGTATTATCCTTACGGGAAGGCCAGCCGGCATGCTGTCATAGGCATCAGCTGCTACTCCAGGTCGTTCATCGGTGAAATGAAGACCCAGCCCATCCTCGATGTAGGAGTCGTCCATATACCTCGTCTTGGACAAGGCTTGGGGATTTCTCCAGCTCCTGGTGCTGCTGCTTCTGTTGTCGCCCTGCTCCAGATCTCCCTCGCTTCCCTCTGATATATCATCACTGTGATGGCTGGAATGACTTTTGTCTGCCATATTATGATATCCAAATGCTGGAGGCTCGAGAAAACTGCCTTGCGGATCATGGGAAGATGCAGGGGCCTGGTTCCACCAGTTGCCTGTGGAACTGTCTTCGTTACCGTTGTGCTTTGTAGGAGCATGCCGGAACAAAGTGCTTGATGTAGATGCTCCCATATGACTCTGAACCCTTCCGTACAGATCAGAGTAATAATCTTCATCTTCTTCAATCTCAGATGTTTCCCTTGCTAGCTGACTTGCGTTCTGACCAGCCTCAAGGGATGCTTCGTCAAAATGGGGAGCTTCAACTCTATCCAAGTGTGGTGAATGACGCATGTAATACCAATCCAGAATATATGGATGAATTCTTTGATCTGAGTCCAGCAATCCCAAGGGATCTAAGTTATAACCAGCAGGTGGGAAGGCCTCTGCATGGTTACGGATAATACTTGGGAGTAGTTGATGGAAGATATCATCCCTTTGACCTGTGCTATCCACAAAGCCTGATGCTTCCATTGCCTGATACTGCGCAACAGCTTGTTGACGTATTTGTCTTTCCTTGAACTTCTGTAGGTTATGTAAGAATTGTTTGCCCTCTGCATTTGATGCCAATGATGGATAAACACTCTGAAAACTGCAAACAATCATGATATACTGTTAGACTTCAATCTTGTTGTTTCTGTTGGTGTTAATGTGTGTCAGTGTGAATGGTGGCCTAGTTAGGAAAATGGATGATGCTGGCTTCGAAAATCACAGGATCAGTGCTATCTATACCTCTGCATTGTCCCACAAGGTAACACTAACAAAATAACACCGTTTTTTGGGGGGTAATACTAACAGAATGATAACATAGTTGCAAGATATACAAGATTAAAAATTAGTATATCATGTCTTAGAAGAAAAGGACTCTCTGCTATATTGAATTGCCGAACTAAGTGTTGAAAATACACACTGTTTTAACAAGTTAGCTAACATTTTCCATATTTTGCACAATTTAGACAGATTGTTATTTTTTAAAAGGATCAACATCTTCTGAGAATGGGACTCCAGAGGAAATACATACTTCCAAGAAAATAACTCCATAAATACACCATTTTTAAGTACACCAAGCTAGTAAGAAGCATGTGAAGTACTTGAAAGTATAATTTACCTTAAGAATGATTTCTCCATTTTCCCTTGGGAGCTCCTCAGGTTTTTAGGTGCATCAAATGGAGAACCATAGTTTCTATTGCCGTGTCTTCTGAAGTCAAACATGCTTAAACTATTGAAACACAGCAAAGCAATGATGTTAAGTGTTGCAGAGGCTCAACAAAGATAGATGGTCACTTGGTCAGAACATAAATTCCGAAGAGACTTCAGCAACTGACCTGCATACATCTCCCACTCCATCTACATAAATTGTGAAGTCCGATATGAAGTGCAGAATGTCATCAACACGCTGTAAATTTATAAGAATTCACAGCTGTTACAAAATACAAAACTATAGAGAAACACATTCATCAAGCTAGTTCAGACCATTACCTTTGGTACCTCAAAAATGAGCAAGTAAGGAGTGATGAAAATGGACGCCATCTCTTCTAATAGCATTACTATGGTATACTGCATTCACAATATAACAAGACACTTCTCAGAGTTTATAATAGAAAAGACAAAATACATAGCCAATACAGACATATCCTGGACCTCAACCACTGACAAAAATCTAATGCAGATGGCAGATGATATCTAGGAAGCAAACCACTTCGCTGAGTCCTGTTAATCTAAACACCAAAACTAACCTTTCTTTTATGTATCAACCTTTAGCTGAAAGAGATGAATAAAAACTTGGAAGCTCAACATTGTCATATCTATATCGGGGGAAAATGCCATTTATATATTCACCTATTAATCAATTTAACTGGCCCATGCTAGAAAAAAACTTCTAACTATTTTTATTATCAAAAGCCAAATGCCACATGAGTATTATCTTAATCAAAACAGCACTATAGCTGAATTCAGGTACCTGAAATAGTGTTTCAAATT